CCTGCCCCAGGCTCCCCAGAGCCTCCCCGGGGGGCTGCAGGCAGTCCTGGGAGCGAGTGCTGGCTCAGGCTGGAGCCACAGCATGGAAAGACAAACAGGGATTTCTCTCACAGGGTGGAACATCATTTTACAAAGGTGCTTCCTAATCCCGTCTGCGAAGAGGAGAGCGACTGCTGCTCCTCCCCGAGGGTGATGTAACTGCACCTTGCCGTTGCTCAGCCCTCTCCAGGGAAACCAGGTAGTGTGGCCCTGCAGGTGCGGGAGCTGCAGGGGCCGGGGCAGCGTGGCACACGGTGTGACACACACCCCAGGGCAGCACAGCTGCCACCCAGCCGCGGCGAGCCAAGGGCAGCGCTCCCTCACCACGGGCATCCCCTGCTCCTCACTGCCATCCATCCACAACCTTCTCCACACGGAGGGGATGTGCCACAGCCCTGCCAGGAAGCACTCGCAGAGCTCCCTCTGCACAGGTCTATTTCCACGAGGAGAGCCACAGATGGGGTGAGGAGCTGGCACGGCCAGGGCCACCACCAGCACGGGCTGCTGCCCCCGGGGGTGAGGGCAGAGTCACTTTGCAGGTGCCATATTTTCAGAGGTGGGGGCAGTGGCAGGTCCCAGCCTGCCTGGACAGTCTGGAGATGGGTGGGGGGATCTGGTGGTAGCATCGTGCCCTGGCAGCAACAGCACTGGCTGGAGAGGCACAGCCCAGGCAAGTGTCCGTCCCAGCCTTAGTGCTTCTCACTCTGCAAAGGAGAGAGGGGAGAGCAGCAGTGAGGTGCCAGGGGCTGGGCTGGGGGCACACGACCCCTCTCAGTGCACCCAGGACCCCTTGGCAAGCCTCCCTGCCTGAGAACAGCCCTGCCACCTCACCTCCATTTTGCTGTATATCCAACTGAGGAGCTTTGTCACACGTGTGTAGACCCCGGGCTTGTTCTTCTGGCCACATCCTGTCCCCCAGCTCGTCACCCCGGCCACGTACCAGCGGCCGTTCTCTTCGCAGACAAGGGGCCCTCCACTGTCACCCTAGGAGAGAGGGACAGAGCAGTGAGGAGACAGGAGATGCCCCTCAGGCAGGGGACACTGGCATGCAGGAAAAGTAGGCAGCCCTGCCAGTCCCGTATCATCCCCAGCTCACCTGGCACGCGTCCTTCCCTCCCTGCAGGTACCCGGCGCACATCATCCGTGGGGTCAGGTAGCCCTCGTACACCTTGTCGCTGTTGCAGATCTTGTAGTCAATCACCCTCACCTCAGCCTCCCTCAGCTTTGGGGATGTGTTATCTGCAAGGCAGGACGAGCCGTGGGGCAGGGTGGGCTTCATCCCCCTGCTGCCCCCGGGCCCCTCCGCAGCACCAGGAGCTTCTGTGGCAGCGAGGGGACACACACTGGTACTTCTCACAGGGCTTATTTAGGCAGAACCACACAGCCAGGAGGGAAGCCACTGTTGCAACAGCCCTTGGATACAGCAGCAGAGCCCCACGAGCTGCCTTTGCACCCAGGAGCTGCCTGCAGGGAGCCGGCGCCCTCCCTCACCTTCGTTCTCCCTGGTCTTCCCAAAGCCAGTGATGAAGCAGGACCTGCCGGTCTGGAAGCGCTGGCCGTGCATGGGGAGGCAGGCTGGGCGAACCTGACCTGGAGGGAGACGTGATGAAAACCAGGCAGGAGAGAGGGATGAGTCACCCAGGAGCAAAACAGCCACTGCCAGCCCCAGCCGGGGAGGAGCTGGGCATGCAGGGAACATCCCCTTGGTGCCCACACTGCCCGCAGGCACAGCGACCCCGGGGGCAGCTTTAAGGGGACCCGAGCTGCCTCTGTCCCCTGAAAAGCCACCCCCAGCCCAGCCCTGTGGCACAGCGAGCTGAGGGACCTCACCTGAGAGTGTCAGTGGCCTGGAGAGCTTCATGAGAGCGATGTCATAGTCATCATGATCATCGCTGTAGTTGGAGTTGATGATGACCTGGGAGACAGGGATGCCCTCCGCGTGCTGCTTCAGGTCCGAGACCCCGCCGTACACCTTCCAGTCATCGAGGATCTTCATGCTGTTCCTGGGCAGGGACAGGAGGGGACAGCAGGCTGTGAGGGGCAGGGCAGGGGGCTGCACAGCAGCACTCCCAGCGTGGCACAGCAGCACTCACATGAAGAAGCAGTGGGCTGCAGTGAGCACCCACTGCGCGTCGATGATGGTGCCGCCGCAGATGTGGATGGTCCCGTACTGCACGCTGACCTGCCAGGGCCATTTGCTCACTGAGGTTTCCTTTCCTCCAATGATCCGGCCAGAAATCCGCTGCCCACAGGCTGGAGAGGAGAGCAGGGAAGAGGGATGAGCTCAGAGAGGTGAGCCGGCAGGGGGCTGCACACAACAGAGTCACAGAATTGCTCTGGTTGGAAAAGACCTTTAAGATCATCAAGTCCAACCATCAACCCAGCTCTGCTGAGTCCAGTGCTAAAACATGTCCCTAAGCACCACTTCTACATGTCTTTTAAACACCTTCAGGGATGGTGATTCAACCACCTCCCTGGGCAGCCCATTCCAATGCTTGACAACCCTTTCAGTGAATAAGTTCCTTCTAATATCCAGTCTAAACCTCCCCTGGTGCAACTTGAGACCATTTCCTCTCCCACCTGCAGGCACCAGCACTGCTTGGGAGTTAACAGGGGCCAGTGGAGACCATGGGAACACAATCCTCATAGTTTAATTACCCAGAAGGTTTGCTGGAAAAAGGCCTGTTTGCCCAACCCTGTGCAAAGAAAGGAGGAAACCTATCCTGAGGGTGTGCCTGGCTTTGTCCACCCTTGGCCATGCTCCCTGCCAGCCAAGCCCCTTACCTGTGCATCGGAGAGAGACGTACTTTCCCGTGAGACACTGGGAGCTGCAGGAGAGAAGAGGGAGAACCAGCCTCAGCCCTGGCCCCGTGGCACCAGGGCCAGGGGGCAGGGACAGGAGGTGACATTGCCCGGTACCTGTTGAGGCTCTGCTGGATGGTGTCTTGCTCGTTGCTCACAGTGAGGCTCTTGCCAGGGATGTTCAGGGGAATGTATTCGGTCTGTGATGCACTGGGAGAGGAGAGAGGCTGTGAGGGTCCCTCCTCGCTGGGCACTGAACACCCACCCCTGCTTTCCCAGAGGCTCTGCACACAGAGCCTGGGGGGATGGACCGAAACACCCAGAGTCCCACTGGATGTGCAGTAGAATAATAGTACAGTGCTGGGGGAAAACAGCGCAGCAAACTGTGCACCCAGCCAGAGCAACACCCAGGGTGCTAGCAGAACCCTAGTGCCTGAGTAGGATGACCCATCCCAAGGGAATTACTTGTGAAATCCCAGCTGCTTGCAGGTCTTTCTGGAGAAGGAGTCGCCCCAGCCGCTGCTGCACACCGGCAGCCACTGGCTCTCGGCGCTGGAGTAGACGTGCAGCAGGGACTCGTTGGCTGCGAAACGCACTGCAGGGGTGGAGCAGGCGGGTTGGGGGAGCCCAGCACCACGGGGACCCCCTCCCACCCAGCACCCCTGGGCCCGGGTGCCTCACCACAGCCCAGCTCGTCGCTCCTCAGGGAGCAGTCGGCGACGCCGTCGCAGCGCACGGGGCTGTCCCTGCAGGTCTCGGTCGGCTCCTTGTACACGATGCCAGTCTGTGACCTCCACAGCATAACTGGAAGGAAGCACAGGGGGGGTGAGGCCAGGGCTTGCTGTGTGTGACAGTGCTGTCACCCAGCTGGACAGGAGCCTGGAGAAGGGCTGCTCTGAGGGGCACTCCCAAGCAGCAGGTGTGAGCTCGGGTGCAGGGCTGCCCTTTGAGGCAACACCGAAGATCTGCAGGGCTAAAGTGTCCCCAAGCACCCCCCATGCCAGCCCAGCAACCCTCTCTCACAGACCCCTCTTCTAGCCTGCTCCTACAGAAAGATGCAGCCAGCCTACCCCACGCTTCAAGCCCACCAGCTACAACAGCTGGAGAACATTCTGAGGATTAAAGTGATTTTCCCAGTTTCTGTGCCTTTCTGCCTAGGGACTGTACTTGGTTTGATGGGTCCTGCCCCATAACCCCATGTCCCGGGGAGGATGAGTGTGGGTGCTGCTGGGGTTGCCCCACCAAAGCAAGCCCAGGAGACAGAAAGGAGGTGCAGCCCCACTGGGACCACAGGCTTTCCCTTTCCCAGGGATACTCCTCCTGCCTGTCCACCAGGTGTCAGGGACACTCAGGGAATGGGAAGAGCACATCCCTGCCTTCTTGCCTCCTGGGTTTCCCCGTGGCAGGTCCCCCCAGCCTCTGCTGGCCCCCAACCCCTCAAAGGCAGGGAACCCTGAGCCACCCCAGACTGGGACCCCACTCACACAGCAGGATGAGGGCGATGAGCAGCACAATGAGGACAGAGACGCAGAAGATGAGCACAAGCCGCCGCTGGCTCACACAAGGAGCTCTGAACATGGAGAATCCTGCCAGGGGACAGAGGCAGGGTCAGGAGCAGCACCTGCCTCCCCAAGGTGCCCAGACCCCACTGCCCACCACAGCAGGGCAGGAGCTCCCTGCATCCCCAGGGATCCATGAGATGGGTGAGAGGAGAGACACGCACATCCCACATCTCCCCACGCATCTCCCCACCCTGCCACTGCCCTCTCCCTTGCCCACGGAACCCCCCACACCCCCAGGGAAACACCAGCCTGTGGGCACAGGGACCCATTCCCTCCCCACCCGAGGTGGGAGCGGGGGCAGCAGAGCCCAGAGCCCACCCATGGCACCCTCCTCTTACGTGTGCTCTCCCAGGTCGTGCAGGCGGCCGGGGCTGGGCTGGACTCGGGGCTGTAGGGCTTGAAGCTCACCCCTAGGACACTTTCCCGAGGCTGGGGAGGTCGGGCACCGAAGATGCTGCTGATTGTGGAGACATGGAGGCTGGAAGGGATACGGAAGGGCGACGCCGTGGCCTACAAGAAGAGGTGACAGTTACTGGCAGTGACCGTTGCCCACTGGACAGTCCCCACAGCTCCCACCCCGCTGCCCAGGCAGTCGTGAAGGCAGAGGAGCTGAGCTCCCCAGCATGGCACTGGGCTCTCCAGTACAACCAGCCTTTGCCACTGGTGTCTGTTCCTCCACAGTGCCACGAGGTTCGGGGCAAGTTACCATATCCCACGTGGGAGAGCCAAAAATCTGCAGAGTTTTTCCCCTTCAGGTGGCTGCTGGCCAAGCCTCCCAAGCCCATTGCTTTGGTAGAAGCCATCAGCTGGTTATTTGGCATTGGGTCAGTCACACTGTGGCCCAGTTCCACGGGGCCAGTGCCCCAATTTATGCATCTATCCTTAATTAGCCATTTGAAAAATACAGTGCAATTTCCAGCTGTTATTTAGTAATACTTAATAATCAGTGTTTTCCAAGCCCTGAAACGTCCTGCACCTTGGAATGCTGTTCTGCAGTTGTGTCACTCCTGATCCATGAATTTGCAGAAGAATTTGTTTTTGTTACCTTTCCTCAAGATATACCATTCCAAGCACTCCAGCACCTTCCAGTGGCTACAGGAGCAAGGGCCTCCCACTTCCCTCAGGAGAAAACAGGTGCCCAAAGCCCACAGTAAACACAAAGACACTTCTCTGCCTTGTAAAATCTCAGCTACACCTTCAGCAACAAGAAACACTGCTGTGCCTGGCAGGAACTGGGAGGGCAGGGCCAGCCAGCAGTGACACTGCAGTGACAGCCTGGGTTTGATCTCAGAAGCCACTTCCCACACCACCTTGCTCCTCCTGCTTCCAGGCACATCTCCCAGCACCACAGGGCTGGGACCAGCTGTGGCTGCTTTGGTGCAAGGAGAGTCAGGCAAAGTCAGGCTGTGCCTGTCCCTACAGCATCACTGCTGTCTCACAGCAGGGCCACCCCTAGGAAGAGAAGCCACCATCCTTTGGCACCCACACCTCCCAGGGACCCCCCCAATGGCCCAGGGGCTTCAGCAACCCCCTCTTGAAGCCTGTCCCTGATTTTGGGCCCTGCAGCTGCTGGAGTTCCCATTTCCCTGAAACCAGGAGCCGCCCCTTCCCTGCCATGCCAGCATTCCCATGCCATGCCAGCACTTTCCTGCCATGCCAGCATTCCCATGCCATGCCAGCACACAGCAGCCGGGCACTGCTCTGGAACGGGCACAGGATGGGACCCTCGGGCAGAGCAGGAGCCCACTGACTTTATTCCCCCCCTTCCAGCTGGATTTTCTCTGCCTTCGTGCTTCCTGGCGGGAAATCAGGAGCCCTAATGAGCACGTCGGGAGCCTGCTCAGGCTCGTGCTTCGTAAATACGGCTGTGCCCTTCCTTGCAATGCGGTGGTGTAACTTCCTGGGCATTATCCCGTGAGTCACGCCCGGCACGGGGTCTGTCCCGGCCCCCGCCCCAGCGCGGCGGGGACTCACGCACCGCCCCGCAGCTCTGCCGCAGCACCCCGGGGCACAGCATCCCCGGGCACAGCATCCCGGGCTCAGCATCCCCGGGCACAGCATCCCGGGCTCAGCATCCCCGGGCTCAGCAT